GGTGATCTGCCCACAGATGATCTTGTTTCAGCTCCTGCATAGTGCAAAATGAGTTTATTTTGAGGACAGGATATCCACAGGGGCACCTTTAGCTAGAAAGCAATTGACTTCCACTTTCTATGCTGGGACTCAAATTGTCTGAGCTCATAATGTTTTATTTCAGCTGCTAGCAGGAGGATTCATGTTTAAAAAAAAAGAAAAAGAGGATCTTCCTCGTATCATCGGGGCATTTATTCCAGCACAAAGTCTGTTCATGCTGGTTCAGCACCATGTAAATGTTTACATGACTTTCCAGGGCAAGGGGAAGTGGCAGTGGAGCTGTGGTCCCATTGCAACCAGTCCTATTACTGTGTGTGAACTGGTATCTGAGGTGCACTAATGCTGGTGGAACACATCATGGTGCTGCATGGAGTGTGCATGGGGAGGGATGGGCATGATAGATCTCCTATACTTATTGAACAGCAATGTTTATCCTGTTTATTTTTTTCCTCTGTGAAATTCCAAATGAGGGCTCCAAAGAGTTTAAAGATAGTCCCTTCAGAGATTTTAGGTAATACTGGAAAAGTATGAATTTTCTTCGATTTATCAGTGAAAAACTGCATGGTGGTAAAATAACTGTCAGTTAGAGATTGGTTTTCTCTATCATGAGCCAGATGATTAAAAACATATTTGATTCAAAGCAGCTTACCTTCAAAAGTACTGACCACTCTCTGTGTCATGAAATTGGTTCCAGTGATTCATTTGGCATTGCTGCTCTGGATCTGGATTTCAAGACACATCTTTTTGTGAATGTGGATTGTATCATGCTTCTCTTTGTGCATACAAACATTAGCAGCCACTTCTTGTCTGAAGTGTATATAACTGCATTTGTCACTCCTCTGACAACACAATTCTTCTTCCTCAACAGGCCAGTAAAGATATTCAACTGAAACCCATGTGGAAGACATAAGGCTAAAAGTTTTTTTCAGAGAAGATACACTATAGAAAGGTAGGACCTTTCCATAAGTACTTCCTTTGAGTTTGACTCTGGTCTTAAAGCTGTAGCTGTCCATAGCATTTCCACTTTTGGGAATGTTGTACAGCCTAGTGAAGCAAGAGCTGTTCAATTTTAATACCTTTATAAGCACTAAGTACATTCCTCTGTACTTTACAGACATACTTTAGGGGATTTCTGTAGAGCTGCATGATAAAATAATTTTGAATATTTTATCCAAGGCCTGTGTTGCAATTTATTCTGAAAAAAACAACTTCTGAAACCCAGAATGTGGGTCTAAAGTTTCTGCCTGGCTTACTGTGTGTGGCAAGAGGACAAGACCACCACTATGGTGGCATTACTTCCAGTTGTCTCACTGCAACAAGAGACACAATATAGAATAATCAGCAAGAACATGGGACAGCAAGGTGTGTGTCTTGGTTCTCCCACTTGGCCAATGTTTCCCACATGCAGAACTTGCCCTGGATTTAGATTAGCATAAACCTGGCTGACCAGCTGTGCCTAACAGGCATGTGCATGATAACATGGTCTGTATTTAGTGAAGAGTTTCAGGCCACGCATTCGTTGGATGAAAATGTAATGTCTGACATCATGCTGAGGTTGTTTGGACTATCTAATGAGTAAAATCCATAAATAAGACATGGTCCAGTGTGGAAAAAAGCCTACTGTAGATTTTAATATAGTAGGAAGAGAGGCCATACAGTGTATGTAATGGTTCTGCTGATATTTCAGCCCATGCTTGCTGTAACAAGCGCCTATAAAATTATAACTCGAAGGCAGTTTCTGAGACATGGGCAGAGTCACTGTGTACATATTTGGGGGATACACAAAGTGAAAAAAGCAGAGGAAAATGCTAATGCCACCATGCTGTGAGTTCAGGTCTTTGTCCTCTTCAAGGAGCAGGTTTTGTTTAAGCAGCTCGAGCAGCTCTTATTTTTAATCAATGTGTAAAGCATAATGTATTTTCTGGAATAAGAAATAATCATGCTTAAGCCATTGATTTCCACATCAAAATACCTTCAAAGGGTGGACCTCAAAATACCTTTAAAGGGTGGACCTCACACCTACACTGATAAATAGGCAACAACAGTGCTGGCTGAATGCTCTGCACTTCTCCCCAGCTGGCAAATCCATATTCATATAGGTTTTGTACCCCAGTCTCAATGGCCGAGGAAGCCCTAGCTGGGTTAATTCCCAATCCTATCATCTTGCTTCCAATGGGTGAGAGTCAGTGCTAGTTTCTTCACTGACTTTTTATTTGACATGGGGGAGTTCCCAGCAAGACTCTCTGGTTGGTAGGCACCGTAGCTGCACAAGATAAATAATATTTTAATGCCGAAAAATATTCTGAATTTGCTATAAAAATTTAAACTTGAGGGAAAACAATCAGAAATATAAAATGAGAGAGGTGGATGTGGTGAGATGGGTTCCGTAGCAGAGATGCAGGTGGAGACTGATCAGCTAGCATGATTTGCACTGCTTCTGTGGGATGGGCTTGCACTGAGGGACAGGACCCTTTTCTATACCTAAGAGCAAAAATTTATTTGTGAACTGATCTCCATCTGGGGCTATAGCAAGTTCTATAGCTGTTCACAGGATCCAGACCTTGCTGTGTTGTTAATGGCTAGACCAGATCTTAGAGGTTTTTTCAACCTAACCTTTTCCATGATTCTGTGTGTTACAGAAGTGTGTTCATCCCTGGAAATGTTCAAGGCCAGGTTGGATGGGGCTTTGAGCAACCTGGTCTAGCAGAAGGTGTCCCTACCCATGGCAGGAGGGTTAGAGGTAAATGATCTTTAAGGTCCCTTCCAACTTAAACCACTTGATGATCTCCAACTTACACAATCCCCAAATCCAGGCTCTTTCTGCAGTCCCCTGTGCCAGCATCCCCTCTCCGGCTCCGGAGTGCCGCACTAGCTATGATTTTGAGAAATATTTTGCACTTAGTGTTCAATTCCCCCCTCCTGGCAGAGATGAGGAAGGACAATGCCGGCAGAGAGCCCAGAGCATGCACCCATTAGCTTCTGTCTGCCAACAAGTTGGGAGCATGCAATGTTCTGGCTGTTATAAAAGCTTTGGTTAAGTAATCACATTCCGCTTGCATAAGTGCTTGTTTTTGGAATGCTTTAGCCAATTGGAGGCTGCAGCAGCTCATAGACAGAAAACACATCTAACTACTGTGATTTTTTTTAATACTACACGATTATTAATCGTCTGAAAGTTGTATAAAATCTCTTTAGATAAGGTTATGCGGCAGAGACTCCCCAGCACTGCTTGTAGCTGAACTACAGCTGTAGGACGCTGCCAAAAAGTCTGTGTGGATCCCTGTAAGTAATATTTTGGATTCTTCTAAAGGGTGTTTGTGACTGGAAACTGCAGGCAGGGAAATATTGCAGACATTTATTGCAAACAATAAATTAGAGGGGGGCAGGAGGTGAGAGACAGTAGTGAAACCATTGACTGGTTTAATGAGACTTTTCTCCTAGACTTTCGTAAGCAAGTCTGAGTTTCTCTGAAGCTGTGTAATCAAGGTTCTTCCAAATATCCTAATGAAAAAGAAATGTGGTGCTGAAATCAATTACAGGACTACAGAAGGACCTGGATTTGTCTCAACAGTGAGATCAAAGGACCATCTAGTCCTATGTAATGGTTTGAAGCAGCCAAATGTCCTATTCTTATATTCTTTCCTTGGTCATTGACAAGTGTACAGAGATATTATTCTCCTATGTTTTCATGGCTTTGAGAAATCTGCAGGTCAGTTATTTTCTGAGGCAGAAATGATATCTGTACTAGTACAAGTGGATTTCTCTTTTCAGGATTTGCTAATCCAGTGTATCTCTTGAAAACAATATGCTGTTTTGGGATTTGACTGACATAAATCTAATTGGGATTTGATATCTTGAGTTAAATGAGCTTTTCCACATAGGATTTTAACTTTAATTAAAAGAGTGGTTTTTCTGTTTAGATGGAACTGAAAAGGGAAAGGCATGTATGGATTTGCAGAAAACACAATTTCCATTCCCACTTCCTTGTGACATGTCTGGATGCCACTCAGTCCATGAACAAAGCATGGAACTATAAAATCATCTGCTGAAGTGGCAACTGGAATTTATTAGTTCAAGACTGAACAACCTGAAATAACTCAATTGTTATTCCTGGTGACCCTGGAACCTCTGTACAATGCCACTGTACAGAGAAGACAGCTCAAATGCTGAGCTATGAGGAGAAATAAAACCATTGCCTATAGTGTGGACGCTTGTATACTTACTCTTACTGGTAGCACAAATGTTTTCCATGACAGAACAAATGCTGGACTAATGGAAATCAGTTGGGAAACTCATGTCAGTACTTAGTAACCTTGAAAAAATATAGTGTGTAGATTTTACAGTCTATAAAGTTCTTGAGACCTGCTAAAGCGTTTAAATCTTATTTGCAGCCAGTAGATGAGGAGGTAATACCACCATGAAAGGAAGTTAATTTGTAGGAGTTATAGGATTAGACAGGTAAATGTGAAAAGCTATGTTGAACTAAAAGGCACTTGGCTGCAAGGCCAAGACTTCAATATTTTCATATTCGCTTCCTAAAGTCAGTGAAGTTAATAGGTCTGTTTGCTTCAGTAAAACTGCAATAATGATGCAAAATAAGCTGGGATCACTCTTTTGCTGGCTAATTATTTAGGCCTTAAAGCCTTTGCAATCCATAGGCAAACCTAAGCTATGACTCTTGCACCATGCCAGTAAGGGATGGGGGATGGCAGAGCAGACTACTCACTGGGCAGCTCACGGCTTCCCATTCCCATTCTGTAACTTAGCAAAGTCTCTTCAAACTGAGAGGCTCCCAGCCCATGCATGGCCTTTTTAGTTCTAATGAAAACACCAAAAATGAAAGTCAGCAGTTAAAATCTGGGAATTTACAACATTATTTCTAAAACAGCCTCTGAGATATGGAACAATTCCAGACATCCTTAGGAGAGTCAAAAAATATCTCTAATGTGTTGCAGGGTAAGATGGATGCTATACACAAGCTGAAGATTTTCGTGATGTTTCTGTCTCTGGCTACTTTCATGGGCATGGTGATACTGAATGCTGGAAATGCCACTGGGATATACAAAGGTAACACAAGCACATTGTCTTTCTTCAGAGGTGGATTTCATGCATTATATAATTTAATAATATAAGGTGCCTCAGATGGGATAGATCTGCTTGTTACCTCATCATCTTTCCAAATGTATCTTGTTCTGTGAAAGGCGAAAGTAGCTGGTACATCCTCCAGGTGTTACAGCCAGATGCCTGAGCCCTAACCAGTCCCTTGAATGTCAAGTAAATGGTCTTGTCCTTGGTGAATCTGGGTCTAGTGGTGGGTGAAAGGCAGTCTTTGCATACATTGCCCTTGTATCCCTGGTGAAAGCTGCTCAGGCTGCTGCTGTGGGTTTATAGAGGGCAATGGTGCTGCGTTTGAACACTACCCAGCTGAATCTGCCAGGAACTGACACTGTACTTATCTTTGGATTTCACAAACAACTGCTTTCCCTGGTTCTGTGTAAGAGGAAAGGTGCTCGGGGTTCCCTGTGGTAATGGGTGTCTAAAGGCAAACCAGCTACAGCACATGGCTTGTTTGCACCAAGGGTGTCCTCTCACTGAGGTGTGGCTGAAGTCTGGAAGATTTCAGGGTGAGGTAAATCAAGAGTCTTTCCCCATCCTTAGGATGTAGTAACACTTTTGCCTGCAAATAACATTCACCACTGCAGGTCTGTTCAGGACAACCCCTGGAAACATCTCATCCAAATACAGCACTGATTTCACACCAGCTGGATGGACTTTCCTCATCTGGAATGTCATCTATGCCTGGCAGCTTGCCTGGCTCCTCTACGCTTTGTCAGGGATCTGTCGAAGGTATTTTTCCTATTTACTGTTTACAATATAAATGAGGGACAGCAAATCTTCCATAGTATCTCAGTATCTTACCCCCCCCTTTTCTGGGATTTCTAGTGAGAGTAAACTCATTGCCATCTATCTTGACATGTTGAAGTTCTGCTGCTGGAGCATCTCAGGTTCAGCATCCAAAGCTGGGAAGCAGTTTGGATGTGTACATGAACTGCTCTAACATGTGGACAGGTATCAAAGTGTGTAAACAGTTCTGTGAGGCCTCATTTCCACTGATCCATGTTGTCTGGCAGATCTACCCAGTACCTGCTAGATGCTGAGAATCCGTGGAGGCAAGATTAATGGATAATGGAGCTAATGCTTTGAGTTTACTTGCTGTTAGAGATCAGAGAATCAGCACTGGGGAGTCTCTTTGTTGATTGAACTGGACTTGAAGCTTTTTCTGGGGCTATGAGATCAATAACTGCCTCATGCAGTTCCTTGCAGTATCTGTAATATTCCATGATGTCTTCTGTGGGACAGACTTACACGGCTGCTCTCCTGTCAAGGGGGATCATGGACTGCTTAGTTTGAGTCAGGTATGAGCTATTTTTACATGACTTGTAAGAAGTTGCTCAGTTGATGCTGGCCAGTGCTGAAGGTTGAGGGAAGAATGAAGCATGTGTTTGTATGATGATCAAGTCCATTCATGTGTATGTGCATACACAGAATTTATACTCACATCATGATCTCAAAACCCCCAGGAACTGGACTAAATTTTCATGACCATGCCATTGCTGCCACCAGCAGTGGCACAAGCTTGCAGCATCTTTGGAGCAGTCATAGAATCACAGAATCATATAATGTTAGGGGGTTGGAGTGGACCTTAAAGATATCCTGTCCCAACCTCCCCTGCCATGGGCAGTCCTTAGTACCCACTATATCTGTGATGGTGCAGAGACTAGCAGAAGTTTGGTAGTGTGGGACAATGACCTGATGGGGAAAGCCCATCAAGTGCTGTGTCAGAGGAGGACACACAGGATAAATAGTCTGATTTAAGCTGAAATGTTTAGTTCCAGTGTAGACTCCCTGTTAGCATAAGGAAAATGAGGCCAGGAAAGTTTGGTTGATCAATGCAGGCATTGTTTTCCTTTCTTCATACACACTTTTTCCTGGCAGGAATGAATCTGGATGTGTCTTCATAAGACCAAACTTGCTGCCAATACCTTTTTATGTGATGTGGATTCTAAATAATGGCCTCAATGTTGGATGGCTGTTTCTGTGGGACCGAGAGTAAGTTGCCTTTTGTTACAAATGCAGTCTTCTTGTTAGGACTGCCCCAATACTTTGCTTTACCTGTTCCTCTATGTGTGAACACAGTCACAAATGTAAAACTCTATGGCAGGCCCTGGCAAAACATATCCTTCATAAAAGTTTGAGGGTTTTGCATGATGTTGTCATCTTGCCCATGAGCTAGATTGGTAATTGAAGTCTAGGATCTCCTCAAAGCTGCTGTTCTTCTAGGCTTTTACCTCTACAGGTGAGACAGGAACCATTCCTCTCTTCATAAATGCAGTTAAGCTCCTTGCCTTGGATTGTTTTCATAATCATGGTCACATTAAGGGCTTATGAAAACACCACTGTCAAGAGGTGAAGAGATCAGTTGCAGTCAGGAAAACAACTTCATGAATAACAGAGTAAAGCAGCAACAGCAGTATGTCAAAATGAGGGTTACATGTAGTGATTAGCTTTATTAAAGGCTGATCAACTTAGTCAGAAAAGGTCAAACACTGAAGCTACAAATTAAATCATTGTGATACCACTGAAAAAAATGTATTGTCTATTGTGTGTGCATGTGTTCTCTGTCCTAGATACCTCCTGCCAGCCCTGGTGTTCCTGGCAGTCCTCACTCTTACCACATGTGCCTCCCTCTTCATTTCACACCGAGCCTTGAGCATCCATTCCTCATGGTTTGTGAAGGGTCACAAAGCTGAGCTCTGGCTCATCCGCATTCTGGTAGGTGGCATCTGAGAAGCTGTGCTGTGAGTAAATGCTAAAAAAACCCACCCCCTGTGTAGTGCTGGAGGTGTCAAGACAGAAAGATTCAATGGCAGGAGATAGCTAAGGAAAGATTTCTGCTCTGACTTTAACTTGTGCTTGCTGCAGGTACACACAGGTTAAATTGCATCTACTTCCTATTGGACATTGTGGGAATGATTCAGAGCAAAGTACTTCCCCAGCTGCTACAGAAAGGAAGTTTTTAGTGGAGTGTGAAAACCTGAAGAATATTTCTTGCAGGGCCAGAAGTCATTGTTAAGGGTGGCTGTTGGTGATGTCCCTGACACCTGACTCCAAAGATTATATATTTTTTATCTGGGGAAGTGTACCCTGCCCAAGGTTTCAAACACAGCTGTCTTTCTGAGTTTTATGAAATTCTGAAAGAAAATTACTTTTCTGCTGTGCCTGTGAAAAGTGGCTGTTTGGCAAACTTCACAGAGTAAATAAGATAAACACACATACTCCATCACTCCTTCATTCCCTCCGTGTTCCTCTGTCCTAGCTCAAACTTGCTACCTTAGTGCCTTCCTCCCCTGTCCACGATACATTGCACTGCACTCCCATGGTGGCTTGTATGTGCTTTAACCACCTTTGATTCCTTACTTAGTGTTGGGGTTTCTCAATGAGAAAGCAGGTCAGCTGTAAAAAAGCATCCAAGAAGCTAGGAGGGTTTTCGGTGGAGGGAGAGTCTGCAAAACTGGGTGGTTCTGCACAGAAGAGTTCCTGCCAACTCTTCTGGAAATGTGTCTATGTCTCTTGACACAAACTGAGAGTGGGCTCTGTTCTTTGCACGCCTGTATTGCCCTCCCTGAAACATCAGTGTAACACATTGCTGGGATGGATCTCTGGAGTCTATTGGAGACTCTGAGGCTTCAACTCTCCGTGTTGAGACACTTCTGCAACTTGGTCCAGAAGGCTGGCTTAGCTGTCCCAGAGGCATGGGTCACAAAAGACAAGTAGAGATTACCCCATATATCACTGCTTGCCATCTTGCTGTGCTACATGGCAGGTCCAGAACGGGCTGGCACTGTATGCAACATGGACCACCATTGCCACTCTGCTGAACTTTGCCGTTGTCTTGGTCTACAACTGGGACATATCCAACGAGAAAGCAACGACTGCTTCTCTCAGCAGCCTTGCTCTTGGCCTAGTGATATGGTAAGCAACCTTATGTGTTCCCACCAAGGCTCAAAGACCCCTTCCACCTCTCACAAATGGTGACTATCTGTCCCAATTCATTCATAGTTTACCCCTGTCCCAACACTGAGCACAAAGACCTCTGTTATAATTCATGGCAGATGATCTGGGACTCTGGGCAAAGCTTTTCGTCTCTGACCTTCAGTAATGTCAGTAAGCACATGTTGTGGGCCAGGAACAGGTTTCTGTGATTTGCATGAGCCCAACTTGCCTTAGGTTTACAGGTGAGAGTGTGATATAGAAAACATATGAAAAATGGCTTTATTTTTCCCTGAACCTACCTGAAATTAATTATTTATGAATTTTTTCATTTTAGTAAATGAAAATTTTGGACTCTGGTCCAAACTGGCCCACAAAACCCCCATTCTTTGTCTAATTCCTTTGTTATGGAATGCAAAAAAAAAAATATAGAGAGAAAATGCTTACATTGGTCACTCCTTGTCTTCACAGGTTTTATGTAGAAAACTTCTTTCTTGACGAGTATGTCCGCTATAATCTTACAGTCTACCCAGTGGTCATAATAGCTCTGACTGGCAGCACATGCAAGAACAGCTCGTTTTCATTCCCAACAACCAACGGCATTTTTATAGGTGAATCTTTTTTACTGTTTCCAACTCCTGTAAAAGGAGGCCAGTAAATGCTTCCACATCCTTCCTGTGTAATAGGGGTAGAAAGCCTTGCTGCTTGAAAAGTATTGTTGGTTAGAAGCAGAACTAGGGATATATTTGAACTATTCATTTTGCTAAGTAAAAAGTAGAGCAGAAATCATTGCCCATGAGCCCTGGGACTGGATCCAAACCTTGTGTTTTCTCAAGTTGAGGTCCCAGTGCGATATGTTTGCCCCACAATAATTCATCAGACACTTGGGTCCTCCACTGGTAGTTCCAGATGATGCAGGGCTGGGCAAAGGAAAAACAGGGTTGGAATGAAGGCTGTGGACTTACATTCACCCTATATTTGTTTGGGCTGTAGGAGCAGTGCATAAGCTTCTGACCCATGGAAGGCTCCTGTCCAAATTTCACAATGCAGAACCCTGCACATGCTCTTTTCCTATGCAGAGCTCAGGCTAGCCTTAACAAGTTTTCACGGGATTATTTAGTTACTGCAAGCTACTGTAGCAGATTTGAGTGTAGTCATCCATTGTAAAAGGGCTTAAGCTGTCCAAGTTCTGTACAATCACAGTCTGGCAGAAGCTATATCATTATGAGTAGTTTTACGCTTGCATGAAAGGGACTGAGCTGTGTGAACTCTGAGTCCTGCTGTAGCAGTTTGAGATGCCTGTTCCCACTGTGGGGTCAACAGAAGGGAGCATGTTCCCACCCTTCAGTCTTCCCACTGCCACATACCAGTGGCTAAAGCTAATTTCTGGACTGGCACCACCATGGCCACCACTCCAGTACATGTTCCCTTTGCTGAAGTGCAGTTGGAGCCTGGGCATGTCTAAAAGCACCCAGCAGGACTTGGCAAAGCTTGTCTGCCAGAGGCATGGGGGCACTGAAGGCTTGTCTCCTGATGGTTGTGGCCACCAGGAATGTGGAGTTGTGTGTGATCTCTGGCAGACAGCTGTGTTCCTGCACTAGGTTCATTTCTACCAGCAAAACTTCCTTCTTAGTGGTTCAGCTTGTTTGGCTGGTAGGACAAGAATGTACTTTTCCCAACCTAGTACATGTTTCTTTATATAGTTCGACTATTCTTGGAGCATTTTGTTAATGTAATGCATTTTAATTCCTGTGTCCATGAAGCTTCCCCATTTTTAGACATGCCTTGACCTGGAAGCATTGGGCAAGTTTGACTGTATATCAGTGAAACTGAGAAATACAGCTCTGGAGGGTAATGGATCCTATACAAGATACTGTTCTTTTTTTCTCTTT